CAAATAAAGAGTAACAAAAAAGAAAAAAGACGATCGGTTGGGTCTGCTTGTTTTTTGCTGCGACTAGTTAAAGTTGCAAAAGTGCGCGTCAATTTCTTTTTATGCAATGCGCGAGGTCGATCTTTCTTCTACAAAATAGGGCATTAAAAACACAACACAAAAACAATAAAGGAAGAGACTTTGCAAAATATACTTTTCTGCTTCGTGCATTTTGAAGCGTCACCAGCAATATATGGGGCCCAACGGGGCCACCGAGTTCCTCGTCTTGCCCAGCCGTTCCGAAGCAGCCGAAATCAATAAGAGGACCGTTGGGGCCTTTTCCTCTCGGTTTAATGTATAATCACATGGCCAGCTTTCTGAGACACGCTGTTTTTGTTCCCGATTCTCACGACACGTGGTGTATCAACCTTGAGCAAGATAGAGTGCCTTCCTACACACGCGCGCATTTGCTTGAGGGGTGACATCTCAGCCATTGTCGCAAAAGCGTCAAGTAAATTGTGGTCGCTACGTAGGAAAATGTGTCACTGTACTCCTGCGACAAAGCTGACGGCCTATAAATCGCTGATTCGTCCTTTGCTGGAATATGCTGACGTTGTATGGGACCCGCACTCGCAATCGCTTATTGACCAATTGGCAGGCCTTAAAAAAAATCGCTTGGGTTTATTTACAACTCGTACGGCAAAGATTCACACGTGTCACCATTGTATACCGCCTCCGGGGTGTGTATATTATCATGTCGAAGGAAAGTAATGCGTTTGACATTTTTGCATAACATAATTCATAATAACGCTGGTTTAAATTTTGATGATTATTTACAGAATAACGCAAGTCGCGCTACAAGGCAGGAGCACGAGAATTTGCTCCTTGAGTTCTGCTGCAGAAAATATGTTTTTAAAAACTCATTTTTTCCTCGTTCTGTTAGTGAGTGGAATGAGTTGCCACCAAGTGTGACGGCGATTGCTTCTACCACTTTATTTGCGAGTGCAGTTGATGAATTGTTTTTTGTCACCAATGACTAAGCTACTTGTTTATTGTTGTTTGTTCATTCGACTCATTGATGGTTTCTGATGTTTGTCTATCATGCCTTGGCCCTCAAAAGTTGGCCGGCAGTATTCTCAAATAAATAAGATAAAATTGTTCCGCCCAATCGTTTTTTTTATGCATTTTGAAGCGCGCGCAATTTGTTGTCACTCGGCTCGAGCGCGTAGCTTTGGCTAATGCATAGGCGCCATTTTACCGCCCAAGTCACGCACCGAGTGCGCGAGAGCGTCACGCGCTGGCACATTCAGGGCAACAATGGATGTCTTCACCCTCAGACAGACAGACATGTAGGCACCCTAGAGCAAGATAAATTGAGAATTCCGAAGCGCGCGACCGCTATCCAAACCTCCTCTCCTGTGCATCTCTCAAGCCTTCCATCCTTTTCACCGTTTGCGTCTGGCCAAACACTTTACTAGGGGGAACGCATTCCACTCCGCTCATTTGCATTAGACAGAACGCCTATATATACAGCGCCGAATCTAGCCCTGACGGAGGGGAGGCCCGCGCCGAGTCTTCTTTTTTTTTATTTTTATTTTTTTTGGCAAACAAGCTATCAGCATCATCAGTCGCAGACATTTCACGACTACGAGCTATGCTACGCCGGCGGTCAGTGCGCCAGTGCAAGCCATTGTCTCGAGGTGTGAAACAACGTCAAATGTGTTGCGTGGTGTTTTCATTTGATACTTTTTCGAAACGATGCACACGATATACCCCGAGTTTTAGCAAACATTAGTTTAGTCTAGGTTTCTGAATTTGGCTTTTAGGAACAAAAAATCTCTCCAATTATGTGTATTTTGTCATTTTACGTTCAAGGGGCAATCTGTTTGTTTCTGCATTGCGTATGTTATTTCAGTGTTGTGCGCCACTAGTATGGTGAGTTCTGGAATCTGTATCCTCTAAACGAGGAAACACTATTGTTTTTTTTTAAGGCGCTACCGGCTGTTGGTCAGCAAAGCATTTTGTCTTTAGTCCTTAGTTTTTAGCCTATTCTTATTTGGCTCTGGAGAGCCGCGGCACCGCGGAAAGGCAGCAGCCCGTACCATGGAGGCCCGCGGTGCCGCGACTAGTGAACATGATGATGTGATGAGTATATACATGTATGATGACGACAACATGGATTGTTGGTATTGGGGAGGATGGCAGTCCGATTCGCAGTAGTCCACTGGCACGCCGTTCGATCGGTGCATGAAGGAGCCCTAGGAACATGATGGCGCTGTTGCTCACTGGGTCCCCTGGGGTCGAATCATCAGGCTCCAAGGAGGTAGCCCAGTCAAAATAGAAGCTGCCGCTTCCGAGGAACCAGGGCTCAGATTGAGGCACCGCCGTTGCCCGATGTGTTATCCTCTCAACGTCGTCGCCTTTTTTTCTTTAAATTTATACGCGTATATATGTATAAATAAAATAAGATAGATAAAAAGACACACAATCGAACGGCCAGCGGCACGCCATTCTAGTTATATTTTTAGTTATTTCTAGTTCTTTCTAGTTATACACGCCCGAAATAATTTTGTTCAGTTTGTGTATGTAACCGAGCTAAAACTTTACGTACACAGGCAAATTCAAAGCAAAATATATACAATGCAAGTGTTTCTGACCCTACATAACAATTGCTTATTTTTAAAATCCAGGGCACAAATTTTGATTGTAAACATCTAATTATTATATCGTCATGTTATAACCGCCACATGCTTAGGCAATATGCTGTCACAAACGCATCGTACAAATCTTTTTTTTCTTTTTTTTCGATAAACCTATGTAAAGGTAGCTTGGTTGCAAGCTTCTTGGTGCACGGCGGGGTGCTAACTTTACGGGGGTAAAAAGCGGGCCGAATATGAAAGTGTCGACGAATAAAAAGTATTATTAAAATGCCGAAACTTTAACTGCGTGTGTGCTATGAGTCGGCAGCTATTATATTCCTCGGGAACTTTACGGTTCTTAATTTCAGTGAGAATAAATTAAAAATTTTGTCAAAGCGGCCCATAGACCCAATGCAACAATATTATATCGGGCCCAGGAATAAAAAGTATACAATCCTGAAGTTCAAGTAGGTATTAAATAAGAGTGTATTAGTGCCCTATATAGATATCCCGGGAGCGTAAGAATTTTTGCAGTAGTTTGGCTGAAATTATCATTTTACTGCGTTTTGCTGAGAATAGCCAAAGAGGGCGCAAGGAGACCGTGTCCAGGAATGCTGGGGTTGTTATGATAGCTTGAACCAGCCAATGATACGTATGTTTGATCATGAAGACTACAGGGAGCGCTGATTCTGGCGTACTGATCTATACTCTATTCTCTATCAGCTCCAGTATGGCGTACATATCGTTTGCGGCGTGCTGAACGCTTTCTCTTTTTATGCCGAGACAAACGCGTATAGGGTAGGGTGTGTTCACATAACGACGGTCATAAGGCGCCGTGCCTATTTTTTGCATTCTATTACATTTTTATGTGAGGTTGGGAAACATGTCCACACAACAAAATATATACCTTAATTACGCAAAAAAAAAAAAAGAGCGTCATTGTTTTGTAAAAAAAGAAAACGAAAAGAATCGCGCCTGAGAGGGGGTGGTACAGCTATTTCCCCAATGGCGCGTAGACGCAAATTTAAATGCAGCATAAATGAAAAGAAATTAAACTTTCACCTAGGTAAATACGTTTGTGTATAAAGCACGCCAAACGGTCTGCATGAAGTAGTCAGATTCATTTTATTTAGATTTATATTTCAAGTAAATAAATATACAAACGTGGCCTCTTGCACAACTCTTATTTTTGGGCATTTTTCGGAGATTTTTCAACACACTTAGAATTTAGTTTTTAAGCCTAAACATTTTCTACGGAGTATTTTCTTTTAATTCTTTTTTTTTTTATTCCTTAAGGGCCGAATGCGCCGCAAATATTCCTTTTTATGGGCAATATCAACGAAATCACAAAATTTTTGGTATGTTGTATGATGTCTAAGAGATAATGCGACCAAGTAAGGTGTGTATAGAGTGCTCCAGCACCACTAGTCGTCGAGACAGAAACCCTCTAACGGTAATTGACTGCAACATATGGGCCTTGAAATATGCTCATTTTATATTTGTTTCTTAATTTAGAACAATAAAATGCAACATGTTTCTACGGATTTGGAATTAACTGTTTTCAATGGTTCATTTGGGAAAGTTTAGAAATTATCAAAGATGATTGCTTCTTTTTTTTTTTTTAATTGCCGCAAAAAAAAAAAAAAAAGAAGTAACACTTTTGACTTTTTCGATATTTAGAAAATTTCCGGGAACAATGGAAAAGACACTTTGTATAGCTGAGCGCTGACGTTTTTTTTTGTTTTTTTTTGTTGTTAAAAGTGAACAAGGCATGAAATACGCTGTACAAAAAGTTTCAGCTTAAAATCTTCATTCTAAGATGTGTTGAAAAAATCTCCGAAAAATGCCTAAACATAAAAGAGTTGCGCAAGAGGCCAAGTTGTAATCTTATTTTAAATTAAGATTACAAACTTGGCCTCTTGCGCAACTCTTTTATGTTTAAATAAAAATTCTTACTTCTTCGTGTATACCAGTTGGCTTACTTTATATATAAGCATATTTAAGTTGTAGGAAGTTTTATTTTTTATTTTTGCGGCCTTCAAAGTTGCGCCTACCCGCAATTGGGAAACGTTGTTCCACCTGCTTTCAGACGCGAATTCTTTTTTTTTTTTTTGTTACAAACACAATAATTGTTTTTGTTGAAATAGGGTCCGTTCCGTTGCGTGGACATGTTTTGCTACATCGTACAAAAATATAATTGAAAATGCAAAAAAAAAAAATGAGAAAGGCTTGACACCCCTATGGCCGTACTTATCTGACCACTCTTGTAACTAAATGTCTGCACACAGGCTACGACACATCTTTATCACTTGGGCGGAATGTTCTTGTACGCAAAATACGACAGCGCGGCCCTTGGTCGTGAGACACTGGAAGGGCATTCACCTCGAAGGAAAAGCAGGCAGCTCGTAAAGGGTTCGACGTCGATGACGTACTGCGGTCGATCCTGGAACGTGGCCGATTCTTTCACGAAACACCGGTGAATCAGGTCGAGGTCCGCGACAACCATGTAAGGGTGCTCGGCCATGAAGAACCCAAAGACTTTACCGTACTTTTGGACCCACTGGTCGAGCACCTACGAGGGAAATAAACACGATTGCAGCGAAGTTTTAGATTCTCAACCGTTTGAAATCCGCATGCATGTGCATGGCCTCCTCTATACGGACAAAACCTGGCAGATCGCCATGAGACGCGGCCGCCGAAAGGGAAAAGGTAGCGCGGCAGACAACGCATGAGAGGAGAGGCAGGCATGTAACGGGCGCCCCGCTGCGGCGAGACGCGGAAACACATTTCTCCCGAGCGATGCAATGTCCGCTGGTGCTCCTCGCGTTCTTCCCGCTACCGCTTCTTTTCTCGTCAGGTTTGAAAACCATGTTTCGGGTCCTTGCCGCTGCAGAAGCTGCGTGAAAGGCCAGAAATGTTCTCTGCTACCAGATCCTCGCGCTCCGAATCTGCGACCGGGCACTCTACGGCTCCGTCGTCGAACTGCCAGGCTTTGCGAGTATAGAGCAGGTTATGGCATGTGTCTCCAAAGGGCGAAGGCTGCGGCAGAGAGCACTGGAGCCCTGGACCAAGAGCCCCACCTAGACCAAACGTCTCCTGCAATCAATAAAAGTTTTCTCCGCCTCCGCCCCTTCACGGTAGCAACGCGTTTGTGATGCAGCCCCATCTGAGGCCCGCTATTCTAACCCTCGTTGTCAGAATGTTGCAAATATGATCGGTTACCTGGCGGTATGTGGTTGTGAGAACATTACACACGTACGCTAACAAAGCGTCGTGAACCTGGCATTTGGTGCACTTTATCAGTAATACTTCTTACTTTTATTCATTCTGATTTTTTTTTCATCATGGGCATTTTACCCTTATTAATTTTAATACAGGTATTTCTATCAGAAATGAGGTTACGAAGCAAATCAAGGTCCCAGGACCCAGGGATTGAAATGGTATTACTTGGATTTATTAGACTCTTACAATGCGAGGAAAAAAAAAAAAAGCAATGAACTACGCATTAACTTTTTATGTGATATTTTCTTGAAACTTCTTCGAAACAACTGATGTTACTCCTAGACGTTTTCGTTATCTCTTTTTTATGGTATCTTTATGTAGTACACACAGTCCCTCGTGTCGATGCGGCAAACAGTCAAGAATATTGAAAACAGACGAATACTAAACGAATCATTAAACATGCAAAACGAAATATTTGTACCACGAGGATCTTAATAGGTCATGCGCGTACCAAACTCCAACGTAATTAAGCGGACGCTACTCTGCTTGCCCAGCTCAAAAGCGCCGTATCCCTGTTTCAATAAACACTTTATTTCACCGGAGCGCAAGTTCTTCTGCTTCTTTCGCAGGGGTTGTGGTGACGTCAGAACGCCGAGCTCTGATTGGCTCTGATTGAAGGATAGTGGGTAGACCTCAAAGGCAGCTTCCTTTGAGGTCTACCCACTATCCTTCAATCAGAGCCAATCAGAGCTCGGCGTTCTGACGTCACCACAACCCCTGCGAAAGAAGCAGACGAACTTGCGCTCCGTATAGGTATCGGAAACGCCGGGCGTCGTTTATTATTATGTTCACGTTTTTCGCTGCGTGATTTGTTCTTCGCCGTTCGAATCTGCTAATGTCGCCATTTAATTGGCTGCGGAGCCTAAAGAGGCGCTAAGAACCTGGCACGCACTGTGTTTTACTTAGAAAAAACTAACAGTAAAAAAAGTAGGTTGGCAGCGATTTTTATTTTTTAAGTTCTATCATTTCTTGAATTATAGGCAGGGGGATGGCATGACGTCACGAGCCTCCTCCGCAAGGCAACGTCTTCTGAAGCCGCCTCTCCCCCTACCCTCCTCACATTTTTTCCGGAAACGGTATGCATTTCGGGACGAGTCGGCCTTGCCACGTGACCTTTCCTGGTAGGTTCTAGTAGAGGGGCTATTATGGTAAACTGTAGTCTGTTCAATCTACGGTGTAGGCAGTGAGCGCGGAGCCGGAGGGTGTCGAATTTGTAGCGTCTGCGTGTCCTTCTTTCGCCTTGTATTCACGGAGTAGGCAGTGAGCGCGGAGGCGGTGGGTGTCAATTTTGCAGCGTCTGCTCGCTGTTCTTTTGCCTTGTAATTCTCGACCGCTACGGATAGAGCATGCACTGTGGAATTTCAGGACTAAAGCACTTTTTCGCGGTGCACCTACGTCGTTGGTAAATCCCTAGGAGGCCTCGTAATGTAAGTCGAGCGGCTCGCTCGAAGCAACGTCCCAGCTGAGACGTGTCTCAAAAAGGCGCTGTCAAAGGTAGCACTCAATCTTAAATCGCATCTCACCTCTGCTGCGCTGTCATCGCGCGACGCAGCAGAGGCTGGTTGCACTATCTTTCAACGGGGCGCGGTGCCGCCGGGGCCCAGATGCGCTCCGATAGCAAATCGAAACTTAAAAACCCGTCGAATTTGTGTGGTTTTTCAGAAAGCCGTAAAATGCTTCGCGTGCCTTCTATCGTTCTGCAATTTGTTGATTTAGTGTTTTTCGACGATGCTGAGCAATTTTCTAATTGAAACCATGCCCTTAAACACAATATTAAACAAGTTAATTACGCGAAAATAATTATTAACTTAATTAACTCGGACTTTAATCATTTTTCTAATTGGGCCCCTGGCCCCAGACCAAAACGACACAAGCCTTTTTTCGTTGCGATGAGTAGTTTTTGCAGGAGCGATTTGGCCTGAGTTCTCTGAAACACCCTATATATATATATTATTGATGGCTTCTTATGTAATGTTTTTCTTCTCGTGTTAATTATGTTAAATAGTATAGACACAATTTTAATATTTGTTCTTGTATATTATTTTTATTGCGTACTTTTCTCTTCAACTTGGTTCCAATACTGGCATCCAATGTGTTTTTAATTGAATTTGTAAACTTTAAAATGGCTAGCGTTTCATATATTAAGTAATCAGGAAAACATTTATTTCTCTGTGTCTAATTTTCAGCAAGTGCAAACAATCTACCAACCCCCGAAGAAAAGGCAAGCTATGTCTCAAAACTTCCTTGGGGCCATTTTATCCGGGGACCATTCTGTCCGAGGTCATTTTTTCCGGAATCATTTCGCCCGGACCCTGTTCAAACCAACAGTTGGATGAGTTGAAAAGCCTATCAAGAGTTCATTTCCGGGATAAGCCGCTTACTTCCTGTGGCTTCATACTTATTTGCTCATTTGCTCCATGCGCCATTCAGCCGCTATAGTGGAGATGAGTTGTTACATCATCCTGTAATTCTAGAATCGATTCCCAATTCGGCTCCAGCTTGCGTAACACGCACACAGTGCACAATAATCAGCGATTCGGTGTGTGCGTATGCAAGTTCCCTAACTGGCCAAACTCGCTAGCACGTCGCGAAAGCAGTGTTTTCCGTTTGCTTTAATGGCGCTAGCACATCATCTGTGTAGTCACGTAAAAGCAAAATTTGATTGTGTAGCAATTTTCATGGGACTGTTTCTAAGTTCTGCCCCAAATTATAACATTTGCACGTAAAAATTAAGTACATACCTTAATGCTTGTTGCGAGTAATTGATTTTCCTTTATTGTTCCATAATTCATATACTTACAGTAAAAAAAAAAATGCTCGCGCTGTATTGAACATAATTGCTTTGCTAAAATGACCAATCTTTAGAAAACAATTGATAGACGTATTAATTACAAAACCATTAGGAAACATCACCTCGAGGTGTGTTTACAAGTCTGACGCTGTAATGAATTGGCTGTTTAACTCTGCCAGACGAGCACTTGAGGCCGTAGTTTTACCTATTTTCCTCTTCTGCGAAAGCAACTTATTACACGAATAAAGTCGTACTCAAATAACACAGCGGCACACTTGATATGAATAACAATAAAAACTCTATCTGTATAGTTTATCGCATCACTTGTACATCTTCGCGTCCAACGGTCCTCGCGACGTCGAACGGGGAGTCGCCACCCGATCGTTGCTCACTTTTAGTTCGAATATAATGGCAGAACAAGACAAATACAATTTCTTCCTTAACTTTGGACTACCAAAACACTCTCCCTGTGACTTCAGACAACAAAACGCAAAAGTATTGTGATCAGTATTGCAACATTGAACCATGCACAGACTGCATCATCGAGCGAGAAGTATCCTTCAAGAAGGCGTTAAAGGCTATGTTACCTGTCCGTGAGACAGATGGCACTCTTTTATCTGAAGGAACCTCGACAATGTATTGTCGTGACTCTGCTAAGTGCTACGAGTCGTACACTGACCGCGGGTAAAAAAATGAATGAGCCCAGGAAAGAATAGACCGGCTTACGATCGTAGGGTTCACTTCGGTTCAACTTTGGGTGAAACTAAGTATATTAGCAAGCGCAAATAGACTGTACTACCTGCAGGCGGTCTCTCTTGAGCTGCTTCCAGTTTCCCCAAAAGAGATCGGGATCAGGACCCGGGATGCCGTGCTTTCGGAAGAGGCCATGCAGCCGACGCCGGTTCAGCGCCCACACCAGGACCATGGGCACTGTCAACAGCAGCGCGTAACCCAGGACGCTGAAGATCGCAGCACTGCTCATCGCGGACGGCTGAAACACACGCGTGTTTCGTCTCACTATCCGGCAGCAGCGCGCAGAGTTTCCTACGAACGCCGCTGACCTCGTCCCCGTTTAATGCGGTCTGGGTCACGCCCTTCGATTTCTTTCTAACTTTCAAGGAACTGATTCGTGCGTCAAGGCTGCAGAGTGTCTGAGTAGTTGCAAAAACAACTGTCTCAATGTTTTATTTATTCGTAATGACGTGCTTTTGCAGAGTCGTACGGCATCAATCGGAGGCGTTGAGTGTCCGAGAGGAGCGACGGAGAACATATTTTACGACCGAAGACACGTTACGAAACAAGAAATGGTGAAGATGCTTCTGAGGGCAAGGACTCACATATTAATTATCGCGACGTGGGTGAGCTAATTACCGAGTACGACTTAAGATTCGTTCAGCGTTCAGTCAACTTTCTCCGCCGAGTGAAAAGAAAAGAAAAATAATCAAGGTATTTTTTATACGTCCTCTAAACTGCTCCCACTCCGTGAGGAGAAGGACGCG